CGCAAACGGAGTTTCTTATTTTTTTGTTTAACGGAAAATGAGTGTCAGGGCTTTGGAGCGCTAGATTGATTTGTCTTTATGGGATACCGTAAAGGTGTGATGCAGCGCTAATGAGATTCTTATGCCTCAAATGCATCGCAGTCACGGAGTGATTCCGTGCATAGTATGACACGAAATCTAGTTGTGGTTGCTAAAATTTTATGGAAGTGGTTCCTGATACGAGAAAATACTGGAGCCACTTCTTAAAGTTTGCGAGATGAGGGGCGGTGGATGAAAATTTCCCAGGACTTGAATCAAAGTCATGGATGGGTGTGGCACTTAAGTACGCTTTTTCTTACGTCTCTTTTACATCGCACCCTTTCTGAACATCAAGTGCTTTGCAAATATTATTGTCGTAAGTAAAGCTTTTGTCTACCGGCCGTAATCACTGCCACTACTCATTAACACCGACAAGTACACAGTCTCAAACCCCCCCCCCCCCCAACGGTACAGGAAAGCCGAAAAGTGATAGAATGAAAGTTTCCCGCACATTTAATTTGACTTTCGATGTTTCTGGAACGTAGCTAGTCTTATAGTCTCAACAAACCATCACTACGAAAATTTGGCCGCCCAAAAATACTCATTCAATCGTGTACGCACATAAACAGTCTAATATTGTATTTGGTTCAAAAAATCATGACCACATCCCATATGCAACAGTTAGATTTAGAAACGGTCTAAACGACTAGTAATAAAAACAGCGCAGGCCAATGTAGTCGGTACCATATAGTCTGAGCAATCAGAAAACAATTATAGGCAACATATTACTAAACTCGAAAGATGTACCATAACCTGCAAGCATTCACTTAGATTGCTTCATACAAAGACTAATGTATATCTGCAAAGCTAGCAAACTCTTTTTTGAGCGCTTCGTCAGCTTGAAGACAAAACTCAGCCCTAAGAGAGTCCATCAATAACTGTAAAATACTCAAATTTTATCTAATGAAATGCACACATAAGTGGAGCTATCGGCAATGTCTTTCAGCATGAGACTTTCTCACGAAGGTACAAAGCAAATCTGAGATTGAAAGCCGTAGTTCTTTTCGTGTTGTTTGCTTACTAAACAGAAAGGCCTTAAGCATCTCCAATAAGGAGGTCTTATAGGCTACGGAGCTTTTTTGTTGCAGCCGAGCCAGTCCGCTTAGTCCAGCTCTCTAGAAGTGCACGGCTCTATAAAAGATGCTGCTTTTCGATTCAGATGCAAGATCAGCCATGGTTTCTCTAATTGGGTGCTTCGCTGGCTTACTATTTATTCACATGACATTGGCGGCCAGCAGTAATAAAACTTCAATAACTTCAATAACTATAAAGGTACTGACTTTCAAATTATAATTTATAAAATTACTTTGAGTGCTGATGAGTTTCACATTTATCCTTTTGGTTACTTGCTGTTATTTCCATACTGCTGCTTTCGACAGTAATTTTGGATCAAAAATTTTCTGGTTTTTTCCTTAATGATTCTGCGAGCAAATTAATTACCTTACGTTGATATCTCATAAATACATACGAGCAATTATGCAAATGATTTGAATGTCTAATTGCAAATCTCGTTCACAATTTTTTTTTCGACATACTTATACGAATACCATGTACTTTCTGCGTCAAGTCGTTGACGGATTGGCCCCAGATTGCGGAGTAAACGCCGCGTCGCGGCCAACACCGTCGTCGACAAGTTGAGATACATAATTTTGAAACCAAGTTTCAAATAACAGTGGATCAAATTTTAAGTAGCAGATGCGCAGCGTTAGCCATGCACATCGAAAAATTTTTGGGATATTTTGCCACCCTACAACCCCAAGAAACGAGGCCGAAAGTTTGCTGACATGCCCCAAAAAATTTTTTTTACAAAACTTATCCAAATTTTGAAATGTTCTAAGAATTATTTATAAAAAATATTAGGTTGTCCCGAAAGTTCTGTCGCACCATTTCCAAAAATTCATAACTTCCGATTTTTCGAAACGATCTGACTGCATTTATTTTTATATGAAAGAGTATGTCATGCTCTTCATAAAGATATCTTAGCTGCTTACTAGTGGTCATCTTTTGCATAGATAGGAGCGATAGAAGAAAATTGGTCAAAATTCGAATTTTCTGTGTAGGGTCATAAAAAATCGGAAACTTGCGACAAAAATCGGAGCAGTGGGTATTTTAGGTTCTTTCACCAGCTCTTTCTAACTGTACAAAGTTTGCGCTGATTGAGCGTCTCTATAAAAAGTTATGATTTCCCTGAAAAATACCAAAATAAATCAACTTCGCCCTTTTGTATTGCTTGCTCGAAATTCGTAACTTTTCATAGAGACGCTCAATCAGCGCAAACTTTGCACCATTAGAAAGAGCTGATGAAAGAACCTACAAACCAACTGCTCCGATTTTTGTTGCAAGATTTCGATTTTTTATGGCCCTATACAGAAAATTCAAATTTTGACTAGATTTCTTCTGCTGCTTCTATCTACGCAGTGTATGCTCGAGAGAAAGCCGCTAAGATGTCATTATAAAGAGCATGAGTTACACTTTCATACAAAAATGAAACCAGTCAAATCGCTTGGAAAAATCAGAAGTTACGATTTTTTGAAAATGGTGCGACAGAACTTACGGGACGACACAGAACTTTCGGGACGAATTAAATAAATATTCCAATTAATTACAACTATAAAAAGTTACTCGCACAATTGCAAAACTCATGTGAGTGACTTGAAAGGGGTCGGTTCGCCACTGACATTTGGAAAAGTATACTACTTTCCTGTCAATCCTAAGATTTGCACAATATAAATACATACAAATTGCAAAAACAAATCTTTCAAACACTCGATTCTAGTATGCTTTCTCAGAACAACTATTTTGTGCTTGTGCTCAGAGACTTTGCTTCCAATCTTAGCTTGCACTTTTCCTGTTCCAGACCAAACACAAAGTCTCCCGCTCTAGACGTCATTGCTGCAATGCAATGTCCACATTTTGCTGTCCACATGTGAGTCATTCAATATTTACTGAAACTTTCGGCTTTCCAATAAAGATTTGCTGAAGAGATAGAAGATTTTCTTAACGAATTTTCTTATCCCAGGCGTCAATTGCTTGCTTCGATGCATGCAGAGATCAATGTATTCCGGTTTGTCAGACGCAGTCATGTATTCCAGGTATCATTTTTATTCAAAGCGATTAGCTGACTTCAATCATAAGATACAATTTTTGCTTGAGGAATGGAAAAAGCGCTGAGCATTTCACAAACATTCATATTAAACTCCTTCTCCGGTTCAAACGGTAATTCCTGCAGAAAAAACACCACTTTTAGTAAAGTTTCGGCACTTTGCATTCACTAGGTAATTATTCGGTGAAGTCCGAGTATTTTGGTAATTATAAATAATGCCTTGTACAAAGTGCTTCGTTGTACATTACTGCCAGAGATGACAGTAATAAGATTTGCATACCATGGTACTTCTTGATCACAAGATCGGAAACAGCCTAGGTCATCACAGCTAACAAGGGAGCAATCAGAAGTCGAAGTGGCCAATCCAAACAAGCTGCATAACATTCGATGCAGCATAGAACGCTGACTTCAAATCCATCTTTCGTATCTACTGAGCGCTTTTGTGGGCGAAGTCATGATCAGTTTTACTGCAAAAAAAGTTGCGCATAAAAATTGTAAAATTGAGCACATTAATGTTCTTTTGGCGCCTTTAGGCTTGGGCTATATGAAGTAACCTAGCTGCATGTTTTGGTTCAGCCTTGAGCCGAGCATGCTCTGCACGGCCCAATTTGCCTTTTACGCGCAAGATATCAAATAATGATCTTTAATGGCCTCTAATTTCGTCCACAAAAGTATTGTTCAGCAAATGAGGAAGACGATATAGAGTCAGCGTTTTATGGTCATCTAACTCTACATAGTTTGCTTTAATTACCCACTTTGATTCCCGGCCATTCCCTCGTAAGCTTGCAATTTCGCATCAATATAATGAATTTAAAGAAGCTTGGTGAAACTCTGCAGATTATCATTTCTTGCGTTTTTTTCATAACCTTTATGATATGATGCGGTACACTCTGCCTTTGAAACAAAAAATATACAACAATTCACAATTTTACGGCAATAAAAAACTGTTTCAGAATGTATAAGAACCTGCTCAAGCGAATGTGGTGTTCCCATACAATTTCAACCAGCTCTTCTTGCCTTAGCTATACCTGTACCACAGCAACAGCCTCAAGCAATCGAACCGCAACCAGTGGTTCAACCTCAGCAGCAGCCCGTGGTGCAGCCGGTGCCGCAGCCGGTAGTGCAACCTCAACCAGTAGTTCAACCACAACCAGTGGTTCAACCGCAGCCTATCGTACAACCTCAGCCAGTAGTACAGCCTCAACCAGTGGTACAGCCACAGCCACTCATTCAGCCGCAACCAGTGGTCCAACCGCAGCCTATCGCACAACCTCAGCCAGTAGTACAGCCTCAACCAGTGGTACAGCCACAGCCACTCATTCAGCCGCAACCAGTGGTCCAACCGCAGCCTATCGCACAACCTCAGCCAGTAGTACAGCCTCAACCAGTGGTACAGCCACAGCCAGTTGTTCAGCCGCAACCAGTGGTTCAACCACAACCTATAATTGTACAACCTCAACCGGTAGTACAGCCTCAGCCGGTGGTACAGCCTCAACCGATAATCCAGCCGCAACCTATTATACAACCGCAGCCGGTAGTCCAACCTCAACCAGTGATACAGCCTCAGCCTACGCTTCCACCACAACCTCTACAGCCTGTACAACCTCAATCACAAATGATAGTTGCGGACCAACAAGCTGCACAACTCACCCCGTCCAATTGCATGCCAATATGCCGGCGAACTTGTTACGGTGCATGCCCCGATGAGATCTGCATTAGCCTGTGCTTGAGAAACTGTCAAACTGCCTGCGATGCTTGCTGCTCGCCAGCCGCAGCACCAGCGTTACAGCCTGCCAGTCAGCCAGCCATGCAGCCAGCAATGCAGCCAGTGCCTGAACTTCTTCCCACGCCACTACCTCCTCCACCAACTATTGCTCCACCGCCACCACCGGCACCGGTGACGATTCCATCGCAACCAGTGCAGCAACCTTCTCCTGTGCAACTGCAACCGATGGTGGTATCGCTCATGCAGGTCAGCTTATTCCTCTACATGGTTCCGTTAGAACACTTTGAAGAAGCCGCTGACTTTCTATAGAGTCAAATTTTATCTACTTTTTACCAAAATGAATCTAATCTATCAAATCGTGGCTGCAATATTTGCACCTTTTGTCCACAATTAGTGTCCAAACCGAGAATCTGATCTTCAACATGTGATAAGCGATTTCCTACTTCAAGCAACTTCAAACTTTTAAGGCGTGCTGTGCGCCAACTGCTGCTCCGACCGTAGAGCAACCTATGGTAGTGCCACCATCACCGATTACTGCTGCTCCTCCTCCACCGCCACCTCCTCCAATGACGTTGCCACCATCAGCGCCACTACCACCACCACCTGCGCCAGTAGCGCCAGAGCCCCAGCCCCAACTAGAACAGCCTCAACCCCAAGTAGAACAGCCTGTACCCAAAGAGACGCCCAAAATTATTGTGATACAGGTGCCACAGGTAAATAGTTGCAGCGTTTTACAAAAATGCACTGATAAGATTGTTGTGTCATGTGTCGGTGTTTTTTACACAGCAACTTTGTGCAATTTGCCTGAAGATCCTCAACTATAGTATGGAAAAACTCGATAAGCATTTAATTGCAGATGCCTTGTCAAAGCCTGATGGGAGGAGGATGCGGTTGTAACAGTGGCTACTCACAGTGTGGAGGAATGTGTTGTTTGAAGAAGAAGCTTTAAGCGTATCTTAGAAGAATTTGGGGAATCTCAATGCTATCGTCGTTTCTTACTTTCTCATCATGATCTTCGAAGATGTCTTTCACCATTTGCTACTTGTTATGCGATAAATAATTTGTTAATCTTCCTGTGTCGCAAACAAAATCTGGATGCCAAATTCAATTTTTTTGAACGGGATCCTGAAAACAATGATTTAAGGTAAGTAAACAATCTATCCAAGTGAAAACCTCTTGTTTTTTGCACTTTCAATAGATAGTTTGTTGAATACTATGGTAGGAGGCCTGACCCACTAGTTAGTCAAAGTTTAATCGCTAAGTGGGGTCTGTTTAACGCTAACGACGCAGTATAACATAGCCTAAATGTGGAAGCAAAAGTGTTTATCTGCCGACACAAATCTTGCGCCTCCTGACCACTTTTCAATGCGAAGTGCTGCTGATTCGGGACTGCACTATTTCTATCTCGATCTGGCCGTGGAACTCGTTTGAGCTACCATTATGTGTTATTCTTGGTGATGCATATGAAAGGTCATGGAACGGTACACAATTCATTAAGGGTTTCATCGCAATGTCGCTACAACGGCAAACACACACTTGGGCCGGTAGTATTCTCCCAACCTGGGGCAGGTCTCGCCAGTCGATGGCACCTTGACGTGAGCTTGGCAAAACCTAAGTTTACATTTGGACCCTCTAAAGGCTTCTTATAAGAAAAGTTCTGAAAAAAGTTGCCATGGCGGCTCTAGAGACATCTACATTGCATTTTGAAATAAAAACCGTTCTATAGAAAAGTATAAGAAGCGCAGGAGATGCTGCTGCAACCTTGCAAACGAATTTTGACGAGCTTCCGGGTCGAAATTTGTGAGGTGGGAGCTGCAATGTCAGAGAGAGAAATGGCGTGTTTTTTTTTGAGAGAGCAATGTGCCGGCATCTTTGTGTTTGGGTATTATCATTCAACTTACGTCTCAGCCAAGATACCAAAATTTCTAATCTCTTTCACAAATAATTAGTACTATTATTGAAAGCTAAATTTATCCTCGCGAAACACTAGTGAGCATCTTCTCATTTTTCTCCATTATCTCGACCGCAACGATTTCGGTCATTTCGTGTCATTTGTTCGTGTCAGCTGTTTTCAGGATCTAATCTAACGCACAATATTAGTAATACCTTCTTACAGCCTCCGCTTGCTTGTGCCTTCTACCCTTGTTCTTTGAGGCACGGAATCAGGGGTATGCTTTGTCGCGAAGCGATGCCGCGGCGACATTAAGCAATACAAGAGCTATTTCTTGTCGGAACTCCGGCGCTATGCTACTTATAGCCCCGAGTCAAGTATCCGCCGACACTCTTCCCCCTCCCCCACCTGGGCCGTGCCATCCCACCGGAGAGTTTTCGTAAGGCACAAAATTCGAGCGCGGCAGCGCCCTTCGCTCGCAGGGTGACTCCTGACCCGGAGCCATTCTTTGAGAAACTGGTCGATGGGGTAGTGCGTGCACGCTTGAGATCGATGCATGTAGGTTTAACAACGCGCACTGACAATGTCTGCGGTGGATTGCATCATTATGTTAGTGAAGATAGTGATGCGAAAACTGTCAAAACTTATAACCAATTCGTGGGTTAGCTTCGCGTAATGGGTGCCGACTTGCAGGCATTTGTGATACCATCAGTAGGATTAGATTGCTATCGTCCCCGATTTCCTACCTATAAGTCTTTCAGCTGAATTGCATTTTGGTAAGCCCCTCGAATTGCGCTGTGCTGCAAAAATCACCAAATAAACTATTATTGAACACAAGCAGCATTATCTATCACACCAAATGCCTGCGAAATGATTGAAACGAAGCGAGTCAGTTGAAAATCCTTATAGAAAAGCGTTTTGAAGTTGATTTTGAAGATACTCAAACAACGGTAGTTATTCCAGAACGCTAGTCACAATTTTAATGACGAGCAAAATTTTCTTTAAGCCATTCGTTTCGAAAATCGGCAATGCGTGTCTTCTAAGCTATTCTGCGTTAGAAGAGCGATTGATTAAGAGATTTCCCGATTTATTCAGAATATCTGAACTGTTAACTTTCGTTTCGTACTTGAACTGTGTCAGTGCGCGCACCCTTTTGACCCCGGACAGACTTCACGCGATTTGATCGTCGCGACTGAATCGCTACGAGACAACTGTTACAACATCATTCCATGCCAATCAACTTGCATTTCGGTTGTGATACTTTTCCAGCCCAAAATTTTTGAATGTGAAATGAAAATGAATGGAAATGTCGGCGATTGAGTCGCGACGATCAAATCGCGTGAAGTCTGTCCTGGGCCTTTAACGCGAGTTCTCAATCTAGGTGAGTTAGCAATCTTGCATTTGAGTTTAGGAAACCACATGAATTGGAGTTTTCACTGAAAAAGAAGCGCAAACTATCAGTAGCACGGTGAAAGAGCATTTTGAGAGAAAGTTTGCTTGTTGCCGTCGACATCTGGGAGCGTGATATGGTGTGTATTTGCGATATCAACAAGAATAAGACTCGAATCCATGGTTTGAGCCACATCTGTATTTGCGCATCATCGACCGCTGTATTCGTTGTTATTCTGGCTCAATGAAAACGGAGCCAAACGCAAATTCATGGTAGAAGCTTTTTGGCAGTCTTCACCTGAAAATTCTCTTGTTGCTGCAATATTTAAGTATGCATGGAGTGGCCAAAGTTTTCTAGATTGCAGTACACTCTAGTGCAGTCGCGATGGCAATTCTCAAAGAATGCTGTGGAGAATTAAACTTGAAAACTGTGATAACGAATAGAACTTCAAAAACGAAATTCGATGGAGAATTGCCGGTGAAGAAGAAAGCTAGATCTGCCTTTTGGAAATTGCATGTTTGGAAGCCAAAAAATAGCACCCTAAGTTCCCGCGTATAGGGCATGGAATCTTTTCTAAATTCGAACAGCACAGACATGCCGAACGATTTCGCGACTAGAAAATTAGTTACGGTTGCATATTGCCTGAGAGTATCTTGCGGCATAACTCTCGTTTTCCGAAACACAACGAGGCGGCTGAGCGGCACGCATCAAAAACCAAAAAAAGCTGAGTCTTATAAGCGTGAAATTAGGGTAGATCGATTTCCTATCGACTTTGGTAGACCCACTACGAAAAGCAAAAACAGCTCTTTACACTTCAGCGGAAACTTTTTATCTGCCTTTCAGCGACAAGCAGTTAAACTTAACTTCTCTACAAATTAGGCTGCAATTTATAGCACACTTATTACATAAAATATTTATTTATTCATCCTCAATGGTCATATGCAGAATAACGCGTGATTGCTTGAGATGGGCAACTTCGACTTTGTTGGTCTTTGATGACAAAAATCCATTCTTGCTCGTGCCGAACAGCGCATTCTCGTGACGTCGCAATCTTGATCTAAGACTTCTCGACTTACAAGGAAAGGACCCTTAGCGAAGAGGGGGTTTCTGCACGATGTACATCATTGCGCTAGTATTGAGGCACTGATAACAAATTCGTGTTGCTTAGCTGCTCAATGATTTTCTGGAATAAGTTACGAGCGATGGTTTACCCCAGGATGACGGCGTTAGCGGCGCCGAGAAATGTCAGTTGTGGGGGGTGTTCGAGTGGATAACTGTGGAGACTATGGAGGAACTGGTAAAAAGTTCGAATTGCTTTTGTTCCAAACCTTCCTTTATTTCGTAAATTGTATTGTTTGATATGTATCCTTGAGGGGTTCTAAGGCAGAGAAACACCCGGCACCCGTTGAATAATTTGCAAGAATGCAAGAAAGTTTGGAATATAAGTATTCCAAACGTTTAACCACTTCCTTTTTAGTCTCCGCAGCTATCCACTCGACCATCCCTCCATAGCTGACATTTCTCGGCCCCGCTAACTCAAGCGATCCGTGGTCATTTTGGGGAACCCATCGCTCGTAACCTTTTCCAGAAGATTATTAAGCAGCCAAGGAAAACACGAGTTTGTTTTTAGTGCCCTAAGATCAGCGCAATGATTTGTATTACTTGTGGGAACTTCACTTCGACCGAGGGTCCTTTCCTTGTTAGTGGACGCGGTGATCCAGCCACGGTTTCTTCCACCTTTTCTTCTAAATCCTATCCCTGGTGGATGGTATAAGTCAGAGCTAAGAGCTAGCGATCGTTTGCGGGAAAGGATGAGGAGAGCACTGCAAGTTTATGTACACAAAATTTATTTATTATTTATTCATTACTTATTATTATAATTAATTTATTTATTATTCAGTATTATTAAATTAAAGTTTATTCATTATTTACATGAGTTTATTTACATAAGCAAATCATAAAGCAAAACAAAATCATTTTATCAACTCACCACTTAGCAGTTTTCACTAAGATAGTCACATTACCTCCTCCAGTAGAGTAGCTACAACTTAAACTAGCCTAGTACATTGGTGAAAGTACAATTTACATAAGCAATCAGATCACATGTGATCACATGAGCTGTATTGCAGTAATCTTCTAATGTGACTCTCTTTGACCAAGGGTTGCGTACATGGTTGATTCTCGTCTTCGATGAAGGTGAATTTAGAGGTTGTGGTAAAAGAGGGGGCGTCGCTTTGTTCAGATACTTTTCGACTATATTTTTGCTTCTTCGTAGGCCTTCGTCTTCTGTTGGGACATCTAATAGTATCGACATCGATTGTACTAAATCTTCTTTTTCGCTTCGATGTCGAAGTTGATTAGCATGCTTCTTGTATAACTCTTGGTCAATCTTTACTTCGTAATTAACTCTTCCAATACGTTTCACTATAGTGCCTTTAATCCAACGAAAATGTGATGGCTTCTACTACACCATATCGCCAACTACAAATCTTCGGGATGTACTCCGTGTGTTCCATCGAGTTGGTCTTCCATGCGTTCGCATCTGTTTCTTGCAACAAACGGTTCCTCTTTTGCTTCTGATTGTAGTACTAATTGGCTGAGTCTCATGCGTAATTTCCTTCCAAGAATTAATTCCGATTGTGTCTTGCCGTTCAAAGCTGCATTTGTT